GCAAAATTATTTATTACATGTGTTTTAAAGTCCTTGTGCTGTAGCTTGTAAAGTATTCCTAGCACCTAAATTCTTGACTTTTAAGCCATCTCAAGCTGAGTTATATTTGCTATATCTGTAGTTTATATATATATATAGCTTAGTCTTTAGAATTTAATCTGAACACTTTTGAATTTAACATTTGATTGATTTGCCATTCATGAGGTCTGCCAGTAGTGTATTTATATCTCTCATGTTGCTTAGAATAATACAATATAACCTTGAGATGAGAAGAGGTCTGTGTGGGACTTGTTCTAGAAATGTCCCTGTGAGATTATTTCCCATTTGTAGTTAGCAGCTGAGATCTTTCTGTTAACCAGTTTGAATCCACATCAATTTTTATGCAATGTGTTGAATGTGCTTTTTCAGAAATCTTATGAACACAGGTGTTGAATATCAGATGTGTGACTTTGTAGGAAATGGCCATTGGCAAGGCCTACCTTCTGCAGAAGCAGTGTTGATTGCATTTTAATTTTGCAGTGTCTCTGGATTCTCTATCAAGTATCCCCCATCTGAGCTTCTCTGTATGCTGGTTTTGTTTTCTTTTCTTTCTAAGAGCAGGTGTGTAGTGCTGCTGGGGCTGCACTGACAAAACCTAATTTTTGAATCAAAGACTGTTTTGGGTTGGAAGGGCCCTTGAAGATGATCCAACCCCCTGCTATAGGCAGGGACACCTCCCTCTAGACCAGGTTGCTCAAAGCCTCATCCAGCCTGGCTTTGAATGCTTCCAGGAAGAGGACATCCGCAGCCTCTCTGGGCAAACTGTCCCCAAGTCTTACCACCCTTACGCAAATATTTGACTGACTCTTCTTGCCAAGTGCTGTGGAAGTGTTATGTAAGACTTTTCCCTTTTGGTTTTTGTTTTTCAATTTCAATGATAAAACTGCATTTCAAAATGAAATTTATGACCTCCGTGCATTTTATTCTTTTCTTCTTAGGCATCTTAAAAATCCTAGTTTGTAATCTCATGTTTTTCTGACTGTTTTGCTAAAATAATCAGTTCTATCTTCCTCCTCCTGTTCTTCAGAACATTAATCGTTGGTCTACTTTTAACTTAAATTGTTCTGCTGTATACTGTATTATCTAGATTGTTTTGTTTTTCCTTGGTGTAGGTGTACAGAATGATAAATTACTAGGCTTTGATGTAAAAGCAATTTCTACGCTTTTTCTATGAGGGTGGATTAATTTGTATAGTATTGTGAAAAGTGCTTTAACTTTCAGTGTCCTGCTGGAAGAAGCTTGATTCCCTAATGGAGAATGATCTGAGAATGTTACTTTTTTTTTTTTTTTTTTTTTTTTTTTTTCTTTAATAAAGGTTTAAATAGATTCTCAAGTGAATACTTAAATAATAGGAAGCTGCCTGATGTAAAAGTCGAGGCTTTTTTTGCCACATACATCTGCATTTTAAGAACTAGTGCAAAGTTTTTTTCCAACTGTCTTGTTCTTGGTCTAACACAGAAAGCCACTAATAACCAGTTATCTTTTAAAACTGGAGAAAAAAAAAAAAAAAAAGATCCATTTGAATTAAGTATGAGCTTACGCTCACCCTGCAGACAGTTTAGGTAGAGCATTTAGTGCAGTACTTATTCCAAAATGACCTGTATGGGCCTGTTGTTTGATATCTGAACTGCACTTCTGTATAACTGTGTACATTTTGTGGGTTTTGCACATGGAATTTCGAGCACTGTATTTCTAACTTGCTGTGGACTGTGTATCTCAATAAGGAGTATGTGAAGAAAACTGATTGTGAGTGGTTACTTGAAAATTTCTGGTTGGTTCATTGCCTTGCAATGTGACAGGAATGGTGGTTGGTGCAGATGCAGGAAAAAATAATAGTGGAATGAAGTCTTCATGACAGCAAAGGCAGTGTTTCTGGAAGTGTGTGCCACGCTCAGGAAGATGACCCATGTTCAAGTACCTCTGGCAATTGAAAGGAAGATTGCTGTGAAAAGTTGTCAAACTCTAACCCTGAGTATTCTGCTGTCTTATTTCCTTAACACACCAGGAGAACTGATATGTTTTTCTGTTACACTTCAGTTTAAGGATTGTCTTGAATGCTTTCTTGCTGTCACTTCTGGGTAATATGAAGTGTAACCTGTGCCCTTTTTCATAGGGTTTTGCTGAGAAACCTCTGCTAGTAGACCAGATATGTTTTTAGGACTAAGATTTCACATGATGCTTTTAGCTTTTGAAGTAATTAATTGGCAACTCATGCATCTGTCTTGCTTGAGAGGCTGTTGAATGGCAGTAGAATATGAACTCGATCAGGCAATGGCAAGATGCAATATTCTATCAGTTTGGAGGCTGGCTACTGCTTTATTTTTTTTTTCCTGCTTTATCCTCCAGTGCATTTTTAAGAGATGAGCATAAGAAAGAGACAGCTGGGCTATTATGCTAGGATAAGGTGTTCTGGTTTATTGCAGACCATCTATGCCATTCAGGAGAGCTGAACTATGAAAGGTACATTGGCATAGAACTTTATTCTCCAACAGAAGAGCCTCTTGTTGGAGGGTGTCAGGGAGAGGTTAAACTGTGGCTGTGGAAGATTTAAGTATGATTGTGGATTCTGTAGTAGAAACTGAGCCCTGCCTGTCTTTCTTGTGAGGAATTCTTTGGTACAGCTGCTACACAACTGCTGGAGTGTTTGTAATCTTTGTAACTAATTTTTGGCTAGGATCCTGTGAGCTGGCACAAAGAGGGTAAAAAGTGCAAAGAAAGGAAGTCGTTGCATTTTGTGTATGTATTTGGGTAGGAATGAATGGTGGCTTGTCAAGCAAATGGACAAGGAATGCAAGGTGTTGGGCTGGGCTTCCCTGATATATTCATTTAGACATGACAAGGCTAGATCTTCCTCTCAGCAAGAGCAATTTAGGCCAAAGCTGACAGCAGGCTTTGCCTGATTGTTTTGGGAATTCTGACTGTATTTTCATGATGCCTACTTCATGGAGAAATGCCTTTTCTACCTTTGCCTGTCACAAATGTCTGGTGTGTTTATTTTCATTTTTCTCCTTTTCCTCAAGAGAAGCAAGTTTTCCTTCAAAAAAGAAAGCTTGTAGATGCTTTTGCCGAAAATCTTTTTAATCAAGGTTTATGTTTGCAATCTTGCCTGGGTTAGAATAAAGCTTCCCATAGGAATCGAAGGCAGTTATGACCGTCTTGTCTTTCCTGTGGACTTGTTTCAAGGTCTTCATCTTAATTCTGTACTTAATACTTAGCATCAGGTTACTAAAGCTATAATAGTAACATGTTGGAGTAGATTTTTTTTTAAATATTCTTTCTTATGACTTGTGGAATAAATCTTTCAGCCATGGCAGAAGCAATTCTGGAGAATAGGTTTGCTGCCTGTTCAGTGTCCACAGTTTCCATTGCTATTTGTGTACTATTTATTTGTGTAGCAGCTGAAGAGTTTTCAGCCAGTGTGCTTTGGTAGCAGCGAGGAAGAAGAAAAAAAAAAATCCCAAGGCTGGTAAATGTGTAAGCAGAAGAAAAAACATTAAGCTTTCTTAAGAAAGAAAGACAAGAAAGTTGAGATCCTACTTTCAATATCAGCCAAACTCGTTTTTTGTTGCTTATTTCACTTTATTTTTTGTGGCTGTAAGGTTTTGACACAAGTTAACAATCTCAGTAGTTGAGTAACTTTTACACAAGTGAATTCTCATGTGTCAAAACATCCGCTGTTTGGTCTCCATGAAAGTTCAGCAAGCATTGATGAGCACCAGTGGGTGCCATTTTTTCCACATGGAGCAACTCAGTCCTACACCTTTGCTTCATAAATACTTCCATGTCAGACACCATTCTGTCAGACTGCCCCTCAGCTGCCATCTATCACATGGCAATAGAATGTAACTGGATGTTATTGGTGGGAAGGTTCAGCCTCAGCCTCTACTGCCATACCACCAACATCTGCCTCTGGCATTGTGAGCCCTTGTTTGTGTCATGCCATTGGTGCTGGGTCATCAGATCTAGTATGTTTACTTATTTCCTCCAAAATCTCAGAGCATTTTGGTTACAGTGGATTACTAGTTCCAGCAAGCCAAATATCTGCTGTACAAATGGGCGCTTCAAATAGTTGAAATGGTTGAAGTTAAAATCGTTGAGGGATGATCATATGGTCCTTGTTGCTCCGATGATTAAAAGTCATTCTGCAAAATGATTTTTTACGTTGGTTTTTGAGCTCTTTGAGTCCTGGATACACATTTGCTTACTCATATATAAATGCAGCCCCTTTTCCAACTGACTTGCTTTCTGTTTAGGACTGACAATTTTATTGAGGTCAGGTTTGGGACTTTGAATGCAAAGCTGAGACAAATATTTCCTGTTGTTGCTATGATGAGTGTCATAGTCACTTTGAATGCTGATTTAGTCATGCTTAATGCCTAAAATGAATACTTTATATCTAATTATCAAGCGTTAATATTTTATGATTGGCAGTGATCAGTGATTTATAACATTTGCATAATGAAACAACAGTTAGGAGTGAATGAGTAGCAGTACACTTTACTTGAAAGCTGTGTTAACTAATGGTTAAAAAGGGAGATAGTTCTGTGGGACTGAAGAATTTATAGACTTTTTTGTCCTATGTTTTTTTGATGTATGTATTAATGTGTATCCTGGATATTTGAGATGGATGGATGCATCTGCACATGAAAACTTAAGTTAAATTCAATTAGTTCCCTGCACTGTCATTTGCTTTTTGTAAGCTAAAGTGAAAGTGTCATATGAAACACATTGACTTTCCATAATTTTATCTTATAAATAGGCCTGTCACTGAATTTATTTTGTTCTTGTTTTACTGCTGTTAAATTTTACTCTTTGAGGATCTTCATTCTGGAGTATTAATATTCACTAGCTATGAATTCAGACCTAGTAGCAAACAGTTGAGCACACTGTAAGTGGATGTTAGAAAAGTTTTGAAATAACTTTATTTTAATTCAAATCAAAATTGCTTTTTGTTTTCTCAGCAAATACGTATCTCTTCATGGTGCAAGCTCGTGGTATAATGCTGAGGGAAAATGTAAAAACAATAGGACACATGATCAGATTGTATACGAACAAAAATACAACACTGAATGGAACAGGTAAGAAAATTTCTTATTTAATTTCATTTCTATAAGATTTTTGGGGGTCAGTAGGGGGGGACCTACACAAACAAACCTTGATGTCATAGCTTGACTATGAAAACCTAGAAGCATATCCAGTTTTTCAGTGACTGTGGAGAAGGCCGATAAATTAATGTTTATCAATTCATTTTAACAGTGAAAATGTCATAGCTGTAACACAGAGATTGCAAGTGAATTACTGGCATTGTGATAGAATGGTTTTTCATCACGCTGTAAGGAATTTTGTATTTGCAAAGTCAGTGGTGTCAACTGTGTGATACAAAATCATTGGATTACTTAGATTTTTTCACCGGTTGTTCCCTCTTTTTAAGATTATCCTGAAGGAAACAATTCTAGTGACTGTGTTGCTCAAACAACAATGTATCTTCCAGAAAACTTCACTTACTCTCCTTACCAGGCTTGTCCAGAGAAACTGCCTTACATGAGTAAGTTTAAAACTGTTCTTAATCTTATGTAGCCAATTGGATTGTACTTAAAAGTGTAATGTAATTATTTTAATTAAAAAAAAAATTAATTAATTAATACTAAATATTTTAGTTTTCCTACTTTGGGGATGTAATAAAAAGTTCCAACAGCATCAAACATAAAGAATCAGAGAAACTGAGTGATGTTTATGTTGATACAAAAATGCATATAAGCATTATAAGTATTTCCAAGGAAACTTTCAAGGAATCTGATAGTTGCCTGTTGTATGCTTTGTAGAGTTAGACCTGCCATCATAATTGAAATTAATAAATATTTTTCTTCTATATAGGAGGCCTTATTGATGTAAATATGAGTGAAATTAGTTTTGATGAAATTCAGCAACTATTTTCAAAAGACTTAGACATCAAGCCAGGAGGACACTGGAAGCCCAAAGACTGTAAGCCACGATGGAAGGTGAGGTGTTTCTTTGCTTTTTTTTTTTTTCTTGTTTGAATTCAATTGCAAGTACTCAGTCTTCTATTGGTATGGTTTTTATTATATGTAAATTAAAGTGTGTGTATTGTGCTCAGAGACTAAAGCTTGTTGAAAAACATGAAATGGATTGTCATGAGCTGTAATCAAACACTTTGTTATGTAGCCATAAACTTGTCCTATGTGTATGTTGGTTAAAGTGTAACTAGAAGCAAATTATCATAAAATGAAAATTACATTCAGCTTTTACTTAAAGATACTTTCTTCTCACTTCAGCTGCTTGATCAAAATTCGAACTTGCTTTCTTAATGGAAATGACATATTTTAGAACACTGAGCTAATTTTTTATTACAATGGTAGAACAGTTAATCTGTATTAAATAAAGCATAATTAAGAAATATTAACAAAATAATTTTACATAAATAATGTTTGAAGGTGGCGATCATCATTCCTTTCCGTAATCGTCACGAGCATCTTCCCATTTTCTTCCGGCACCTGATACCGATGTTGCAGAAGCAGCGGCTGGAATTCGCCTTCTATGTTGTTGAACAGGTAACAACATTGGCTTGAAAAATGAATCCTTAGGATTCCTTTCTAAAGGAGATCTGACTTTTTTTTACCAAGATTTAGATGAATCAGAAATTTAAAAATTGTCACGCTTGATGTTATGCTTGCTCTGGGTAACCTGCCTGTGGGTGTCCCTGTTCGTTGCTGAGGAGTTGGACTAGATGACCTTTACAGGTCCCTTCTAGTTCTAAGGATTCTATGATTCTATGTTCTAATTCTTTGAGTGAAAAAACAATGTTCAGCTTCGTCCTAAGGATTAGCCTGTGTTGCTTTTTTTTTTCCCCAAGTGCAGGCTAGTATTTTGTAGAGATAATATAACCCATCTTCTTGGAATCTATTGTCATTTTAAGTTTTCAAGCTTAAAAAACCAACCAAACAACAACAACAAAAAAACAACACCCACATTTGTTTTATGGGGAGAGGTTTGGAAATGATCATTTAGAGAAGGCCATTTTACAATATGTACTTGATGAAATCCATTCAAAGCCACTAGCTTTAATGTGTATGCTATCTGGTTAATAGAAGTGAAATATAATGGCAGTGTTGATAGTACAGCATTACTAACTAGCTAGAGACTGAGACTCTTCAGAAGCAGTGAGGAATGGACAGAGGGAAAAAAACAATCAGCCAACAGAGTGTCTGCAAGTCACAGTGAAGGAACAAAGTAGTTGAGATTAATGGAAGAATCTGTGCTGTTGTTGGCTTTAGTAGATAAGTAGATCTCTAAAGAAATTACTGGATTTCTCATGGCTTACCTTATGTGGCGTTTTCAGGTGGCAATTGGAAAAGTAGCAAACAAAGGAAAAGATCAACAATCGTCATTAAATCATGTGGAATGCATTTGCTTTATGAATCAGTCTTATTAGTTATATTGTCTCATTTGTTCAAAATAGAAATACGAAGATTTAAATTTTGAAATTAAAAGAACTTGAATCTAATTTCATTAAAATTTCTCAGAAACTGGAATTAAGTTCTAAGGTGATAATTATAATTAATATGATTAATTATAATTACATACATAATAACAAAAGCTTCACGTACTTCAGGTAACTGATAACATCATGCTATACTGACAAATGCTGTAAGTTGCTAGTGCTGTTAAGTTTTGTGCAAGATGGAAAGCTGTTTCAGACTGCTAAACCACAAAGTACAGTTGATAATGTTAACCAGAGCCATTCCTCTGTTTAACTACAGAAATAACAGGCATCAACAAGTGAATACTTGTTTTTTCTTTTTGTGTGGAATATAGTGTGTTTCTCTGGTGTTGAAAGTATGTCTCTTTCTTCCTTGCTTGCTGTTTGAAGACAGGTACACAACCTTTTAATCGTGCAATGCTCTTTAATGTTGGCTTCAAGGAGGCTATGAAGGATGTTGTCTGGGACTGCATAATATTTCATGATGTGGATCACTTACCTGAAAATGACCGCAATTATTATGGATGTGGAGAAATGCCACGTCATTTTGCAGCAAAGCTGGATAAATACATGTACATGTAAGTAATTAGCTTTATCTGTGTTGTTTCTGGGTCTTTAAGAAACATTCTTGAAGCGTATATAATTCTTTCAAAGTAAATCCAATGGATGAACATTGTTTCAGATTTTCTGTTTCATTAAAACAGACTTCACTGTAGCAGGTACTGAGTGAAGAATGTGTCTATAAATCATGCAAGTTAATATTGATTCTTGATTATTATTATTATTTTTTTTAATAGTGAGGAAATATTTTGAGGACTGGAAATCCCGTTGCACAAGTCTCCTGGTGTATATCTATTGCATTATATAGGAATATTGGCTGCTTTTGTTGGTCAGCTGTGTATTACTTAATAATTATGAGCTAGTGCTTAGTGTATGCTTACTGTAAAAAAAAAAAAAAAAAAAAAAAAAAAAATACATACCTATACATCTATATATACCTTTGATTTAAAAAATTTACTTTCTAAAACCTGGAAATCTAAATTTTTCATTATTAAGTAGATAAGTATTTTACTATAGTTGAATATATACTATTAAACTGATCCTTTTTAACTTTTAACCATTCCATAGAATACAGCTGAGAATTAAAATTACTGAATTGATGCTTTACTGATTGCTGATTTATTATTATTGTTTTTCCATTGCTTTTTTAAGTAAGTGTTTTTTTTCTTCTTGGTTGAGTAGTTTGAAAGATAATTGGAAAGTTTCATTTCATACTTTCAGCTTTGGATCTAAATCAGCCATCTGAAATATGTGATAGCTCATATTTGTAGCATAAGTCTACAGCTACAGATTTGAGACATAAATTTAAGTGTGAGGGTAGCTTTCATGCGTAGAATAGAATCATAGAATCACAGAATCACCAAGGGTGGAAAAGACCTAAAAGATCATCCAGTCCAACCGTTCACCTATTCCCAATAGCTCCCACTAAACCATGTCCCCCAACACAACATCCAGCCTTTCCTTGAACACTCCCAGGGTCGGTACCTCCCTGGGCAGAAATCTGATGCAAATCTAATGCTGCTGTAAACATTTTATGTGACTTCAATGTGTATTAATGCCAGTGATCTGTGAGTCAGTTTGTCTTAGCAGATGCATTCTGCTTCTGTACATGACCTCAGTTATGGATTCTTTGTGTTTTATTGAAGAGTATTTCTCAATAAGAGGACTATTTACCTAAGTCCAGATAAGAATATGAAATTTGTCTTTTTCAGACTTCCGTACAATGAGTTCTTTGGTGGTGTAAGTGGCCTGACAGTGGAACAATTCAAGAAGATTAATGGATTTCCAAATGCCTTCTGGGGGTGGGGTGGAGAAGATGATGATCTTTGGAACAGGTGAACGTTCAATACTTAATGTATCTTTTTTGATTGTTCTACAGTCTCCAATGTCTGTGAACAATCAAAATTTGTTTTAGATTGATAAATTCTGTTGTTTTAAGGAAAAAAAGAATGAGTATGACATTCTTTTTTTTTTTTTTTTCTTGGCCTTATTGGTTTGGGTATATAACAGACTTTTAAGAGAGAGATCTTTTAACATACAATAGATATAACAACAGATAATAGTATTACGTATATTAGTCTCATTCCTCCTAGTCCTTTGTGTGTAGCTTTTTACTTTTAATATGTCTCTACTGCTAGCATTACAGAATAACATGTTACAGGCTGTAGAGTAAGGATGAATTTCAGCTAAATTTAATATCTTAAGAACTGTGAGTGGTAATTTTGGCCCTACAGATGGTCACAAATTAGATAATGGACAGCAGCGTTTGCCATGTTACTAACTGCTCACAGTAAACAACTGTAAATTCCAGTGGACTTCTTAAAACATGAGTTCTTATACAGAGGGGGGTATTTTAAAAGAAGAATTTGTTTTTCTCCTTTCCCTGCTATTCTCGTATTTTTCATCCTGTTGTGCCTTAAACATACAATGATTAATGTTCCCTACTTAATTAGTTTTTGACAGCATTATTATTTGTTAAGACAGAAGGGATTTTCTTAAGGGAGAGAATGTCAGTGAATGCAAAGACTGAGCTTTAAAACGGTGAATGCACAGTTTTCACTTTTGCTGTAACTTAAAAAAACAAAGGCATTTTTGATATTTTGTTTATTGCACTTTAGGGTTCACTATGCTGGATACAATGTAACAAGACCAGAGGGAGATTTAGGGAAATACAAATCCATTCCTCATCATCACAGAGGTGAAGTCCAGTTTTTAGGAAGGTAAGAAAAACTAAAAACTAATCAAACACTGCAGCTAGTGATGTAAAGATTTTCTTACATATATCTTCTTCATGCACAAATAAGCAGTCAGTGCTTGTAAGTGTTGCTCCCTCTTCAGTGCTGAATTCCATGTCTTTTAAATGTATGTGTTTTGTTCAGGTTTTTTTTTTTTTTTTTTTTTTAAACTAAGTTTTTGTGTCAGGAGATGTTATTATCTTTGCAGAAAATCGTAGTTCCTTTATAGTTTGGACACTAGTGTTGGAAGAGCTTTACTACTTTGCTGATTTAGATATTCTGCATAAGGAAGCAGAACAGCTGGGGATGATGATTTGTGTGAAAACAGACTTCAGGACTCCTCAAGGGTTGTTTTCTTCTATTATACATCACTGTATTCTGAGATGAAGGTCGTCTTGTTTCCTGGTCATGTGGACTTCAGCTTTCTGTTTTGTGGTTCCTTTCTCATGCAGAACACTCTGGCTACCCTAGACTAGAATAGCAACCAGAATGTAGCACATAAGCTGCATCTTCAAGTTGTAACATGAAGCACAAAATATAGGGTTTCTGGTATGTTTGCAAATAACTAGAAATCCTGCTCAGTTTTGCTATCAGTGGATGTCTTTTTTTTTTTTTTTTTTTTTTTTTTTTTTTTTTTTGGGGAGCATCATTCATTAAAAGTAATGAATAAAGCTGAAAATGGTCATATACAGCAGGTATGAGTAAATACGTGCTATAAAAATATATGCTAAAATGTACATGTCAGTAACCAATGAGGAAAAAATGCTTTTTAATCTGCAATTTAGATGTTTGCGAATGCAGGAATCTAAAGTATGAAATGTAAAGAAATTCAGACATCTTAAATGTATGCTGATGCACAGTGAAGGCATCTAGACCATATCTCCACAGTGAGTTATCTAGCACAGAATAGTGAAGAAACTGAATGTCTCTTTAAAAAGAAATTTAGTTTGGAATTACAAAAAGTACATGGATTGCCCCAAAAGCAAAGCCACGATTTCCATAAAAACTACAACAGATACAAAGAGCACAATAGCACTGTGATAGAGCAGATTCTCAGCTAATAACCACTATTTTCCAACATAGTTGCTGCCATTAACTATGCATTTTTGCCAGCAATGAACAAGAGCCCCGTGTACCACACTCGTAAAAATCTCCTCAACCATTTGAAACATGGCTTGTCTCTGTCACTGCTGTCAGTGCTGAAGTGCACCAACCTAACTGTGCTCACATCCACTGTTTGGTCACTGGAAGTGTTCAGCAAAAATGAATGGATGTCAAGGAGCGTCAATCTTTCTGCATGGTGGAATTCAATTCCATGCACACTTCCATGTCAGATACCATTTTGTTGGTCTGCCCTTCCTCTGCCATTGCCACATGACAATAGAATGTATTGGCATGGAAGGTTCAACCTCTGCTACCATACCACCAACATCCACCTCTGATCTTGTTATATGGTCTCGAGATCAGCTTGTATGCATAAACGAAGTCGAAGTGTTTAGGGGGGGAAAAAAAAAGCCCAAGTGGCAGCTTTTGAACTTTAGGTAAATCAGTGATTTTAAAAAACTGAAAGATAGTTTCAGAGTTAAAGGTGGTAGTCTTCCATACTGATGTGACTGTTACTGTATCATGCCTAACATAAATTGAATGGTTTCCTGCAAATCTTTCTCATGTTCTCTTCTTCCGACTCTCTCTACAGATATAAACTTCTGAGGTATTCCAGAGAACGTCAGTATATTGATGGGTTGAACAATTTAGTATACACTCCTAAAATACTTGTCAGTAGATTGTATAAAAATGTAACTGTTAATCTTATGCCAGAACTTGCTCCTATTAGAGACTATTGATGGAAATGGTGTGGCAAGCTATCCTAGTGGAGTAAACTTTTAATGCACTGGAAGGTATTAATAGACACTGAAGACACTGTAAAACAAAAAACACAACATCTTAGAATTAGGGGGTTTTGTCCTTTTGATGATGCATATTTGGGATGAGAAGTAAAGTGATTGTATTCGCCATACATTCTGTTCAGAAAGAAAAGCCAGCAGCTACCACTCAGATGTTTACAGCATGAGACTACTGTTCAAGCCTTCGTTCTCTGTATTCTCTATCTTAACCACTCAGCTAAATAAACTGCAGAAAACAGACTTGCTAGCTTCACTGGAAGTAGAGACATTCTTCTTCCAGGACTTCTTTTATACTAAATTGCTCCCACTCTGCCCTCCTGTATTTAAATGAATGCTTTTGTTCCTTTTTAAAATGTGTTTTGTAAATATGTGATGTAAATTAATGTGTGTACATTGCTTTTAAATTGCTCAATATTTTATGCTCCAGTATGTATTTGAGTGTGTTCTTGTTTGAATTCTATAGGAATGTTTTTATTAGCATGAAACAACAAGTGTGAAATGTAAGTATCCTTAAAAAAGGTTATACCTTATGTGAAATGAAGGAAATATTAATTGTTGGCCAGCTATGACTGTAAACTGTTATACTAGTTTTGAGCTCTAGGCCTCCTGCATATCTATATAGAAGAATCAATTTCATATATGAACTTTCTCAAAAGAAAGCTATTAATTTTATTTATTGCCAGCAAAATTATACCCTGCCTGCCATCTAAATCATATTTATATGCCTATTGCATGCGTATTATGGAAAATCTTGCAGTTGTTACATTCTATGATCTACAGGAACTCTTAAATGTTTCCACGTGTGCCACTAGTGTCAATGTCAGGGATTTTAATGCTAAAACAATGTGTCTGGGTGCATACAGTCTTTTGGTATTGTCTTTTTTTTTTTTAATACTATTGAAAAGCACTTTTATTCCTCCAAAATCAGAAGAGCCAAAAATGTGTCTTCATTGGAAGAATATTAAAGTTAGATTTTAAAGAAAATAAGAAAACATAGTTCTAATGCTTGCAGTGTGGGATTTTCAGGAACATGGTGTGGGTCAAACTGTTCCCCTTATAACTGCATAAGTGCAACTGAAATTAAGCTAAGTGCTTTTTAAATTTCCACCTATAATATATTAATCAATATAGCTATTGAAGGGCCTATTCTAGTACAGTGCTGAATGCTTTTATGATGCACTGAGTGTCCTCAAGTCTATGACTTCAGATGAGATTGAGGTTGCACAGTTCCACTAAGAATTGGTCCTGTCTGTTTCTCTGTTTTTGTGGTGTAAAATGTGTGAGTAACTAGCCTCTCTCCTTGGCTTAGAATGAAAAACATTACAAACAAACAGATAATAGGAAAATAATGTTAAGCTACTTATAAGTAACTCAATGCTAAGAATTTTTTCCTAACTTTTTTTTTTGAACATTCTTCTTTTAGCAGTAAGGAAAAGGACTGAATCATTTATTTTCTATGTTAATGCAAATATAGTCTAAGCTCTCCTGAACTGTTTTGTTTGTCGCAGTTATTCAATTCTTTTAGGAACCAAAGGCTGACTTCTGCTCCTGTAAAGAATGGAAAGCAGTATAGGATTGTTTATCCATAGAGCGTTCTGTAAGAGTATAGACAAAAAATACTAACTCATTAATATGTGTTGGTTTCCTGAATTGCTGCCACAAATAGTGTGGTGCTATGTATATTTTGTTTGCCATAAACACTTTTTATTTTCCTTGACATCCCAGCAGTAAATCTTAGTTATTCTTAGGTAAAGTTAGGATTTTACTTAGACATCCCGAATGTTTTGTAGAAATGTAGTGATTTCATTGTAGTACAATTATAGAACAATTATAAGGGATAAACCTTATGGGAATTACCCTGAAATCTACCAGTTTATCTAATATGCATTAGCAATGATATGGTCCAAGATAACGAAAAGTACAAAGTGAACAGAACATCTTTTCAAAAGTTAGATCACCTCCTGAAATATTTTTATAACTGAGTGTATAGGATATTCTGAAGCACATGGATAAAGGGAGGTAATTAATATATCAACATATTTATGTAAAAAAACGTGATCAACAACATCTTCCAAATAAAGTTGGTCTTATTTCGTAACGGACTAATACAATTCTTTAAGAACTGTTGAATAAACCTTAAATTGTCGTAATTTTGAAGTGATTTCTGGTTTTCAGTACAAAGTTCACCTATGATTACCAAACATCTTTGGTATTGTAGGTCTGTACTGTTTTCTGAACCATGCTTTTGTGCCCGTTCGATAGGCATTCTGTGAAATGTGCGATTTTTAACCATTCAAGTGCATATATATATATGCATGGTTACATATATACATAGTATGTTACACATTTGCTGTGGCTGAACTAACATAACTTCACAGCTGTAAGTGATTAATCATGCCTGGTCTTAGGAAAAATATAATTTTAAACCGGGATGTGAGTGGATTATGACATATAGCAGAGTTCTTGAAAAGTTTGCATTTTGGTGCCCCAAAGTGATGGATGTTACTTGATGAAACGTTAACTAACACTCCTCTCTAAATAACTTCGATCACTTTGTTGAGAAGTTTTCAAAGGTGCCATCTTAAATTACATCAAAATAATGTTTGTATACCATCTGCTTGAGCTCAGTACTATTCTGTACTTAATTTTAACCTAGACAGTGCCTTCAAACAAAATAAATGTGGTGCAGAACTAAGAATTCTGTACGTTCCTTTTGATATTTTTCATAATTCTTGTAAAACATGGGGGGAGGCCAAGCACATTGCTGATGAGGCAAATAAAGAGCATCTTCTCTTCAAGGAGTTAATTTGGAGGGGGGGAGAAAGGAATTATTTTTACAAGGTTCTGAAGGTCTTGCAGTTGAGAATAAAGATTTTACGGAAATATTAACGGTTGAATCTGCTTCATATACTCAGATGCTCTTCAGTGCATTTTCCACAATATAAAACTAAATAGGAGAATTTAAAATATAAAATCCATTTCAAAATAGAGGCTATATTGAAAAATGTACAAAATTTCCTTTTTTTTTTTTTTTTTTTTTTTTTTTTTTTTTTCAGATCTTGCCAGTCTATTTTTCTATTACATTTACTAATGACTGTGTTGAAGTGGATTGCTAATGAGCCAGTTAATTTAAAATATTATAAGTACCCACTGCTTATCAGCAAGAGGAAGTGTACTTAAGATTATTTTATTTGTAGAGGTATCTAAGATAGGCTTAATGAAAAATGCACTGAAACATATGCTGGGAATTTCCTGTGTACTATCATCTTGTTTTTTTTTTTTTTTTTCTGTTGTTCATGAGAATGTTTGTACTTTTTTATCATTGTCTTTTATGAAATATAACATTCTAAAGAGTGTGTTGGTTTCGTTATTCTTAGGCTTTCTGGAGAGGTGTTTTGATGATAAAGTGCTGATTTTTGCTGGGCAGCCAATGAATCAGGCTAGGCTGCGGTGGGGTGACTTTTGTTAATTCTCCTAATAGCTCTTCTCTGCTCTTTAAGAGTAATTTTCCTTGTACGTGATTTACAATAGTGTGAAAAACATGAATGAATCCTATCTCTTGGCTGATTTTCTCAGGAACAAGCAGTTGTCCTTTGTACCTTTTCCTTTTATCTTAGAGTTATTATTAATGTCTGAGTACTAGAAGTATGTAATTTTTTGGAGTACTTAAACTGAAGCCAAAGGTATTTGCAGAACTCTATGGATCTTTTGAGAATCCACAAATAACTTCAAGTGTGTTTAATGATTTTAATTTTCTGCAATAGTAGATAAGAATTCTCTTGAAAGTGTTATCAGCTATATTTAGGAGTGGGAAAGGAGGCTTTTTGAGTTTGTGTAGAATCTTTGCATACTCTTATTTACCCTGTTGTCACTCAAAAGCTACTTCTATGTGTGTGGCCCCATGTGATTTCATCCACTGTGGGCTTTAATAATAAGATATAGATGATGGCAAGTAGTGGTTTACATTTCCCATGTGCTCACTTACCTTTCAGGTTTATATTGTTCACTTTCTTTCCGAGGAATGTAGCTTATTAACTTCACAGAAGACTTTGGTCAGTACATTCTTTTATAAACTTAATGTGTTTCTCTGAATGCTTTTATTCACAAGAGTGATTGAAAGCAAAGTCAATACATCTTCCTAAAATTAACAAAAGGAATAAACAACTTGACATTTGCTGTTAGTGATTTACTCTGGGAAGTGCTATGTAAATTCTAAAACCGTTACCGAAGTCAGAAACTATTCGTAGAGTTTATGGAAACTCTAATTTACACATCTAAAGCCTTACGCTTAATGTCGAGTTTCTATTCCACCGGCTCACTGACTACTGCTGTAGTTGAGTAAGAAAAGGGACTGAGGACAGTAGCGATGAAATAATGTCGAAAACCAACATCATTAGCTGTGAATACCACCTAGAAAAAGAAACAATAAATGCAGGACAAATGAGAAGTGATCTCTAGACACAAGCCTACATGTAGGTGAAACCATTGTGGTTGTCTGTCTACTCTGAGCTTCCGCAAGACTTTGGAAATATCTTCTCTTCTTGTAATGTGGTCAGTATTCGTCACACGTTTCCACTGTTTGAGAAACTTTTGTTAAAAGCATAAATGTAACTTAAAGAATATTCTTTATAATTATTAAACATTTATGATCTAAATTGAGTTTTCTTTGTTGATACTGGTAAATGACAAGATTTTTTTTCCTTTAAGATCTAGGTTGAACACTTTACCTCTGGGTTTTTTTTTTTTTTGGTTGCTTTCTTAAAGTTTAAAGTATATTTTGTATAGTATATTTTTTTAAATTTAAAGTGTATTTTCAAGTATCTGAACAGTTTTGTTCTTACAAAGTCCTAAATATTGAGAAACAAAATTAAACAGTATTACAACAAATATATTCAGTCAAAAATACAAAGTAAAGCAATACTACTTAAGTTTCTAGTAGTTTCAGGACTGCATTAGTCCTTTGGCCATGACCTTGTGTAGGAGAGTTATTTACAACAGCCCTTTTAACATCTCCTTCACCTGCTCATCTCCTGTTCTTCAATTCCTCCTTTTAGACTAGTTGATTATTTTGTGCTGGGAGAAGATAGGAGTTAGAGAATGTAAACATTTAGAACAGTTCATTAACACTGTGATGCTTTTGTTCCTTTCATCATTAACTGAAAAAAATCTTGTGAAAATTGAAACAGTAGGTAATAAAAATTCATACGTATTTGAAAGTGAACTGAAGAAAATGCGATTCCTACAAAGGTTTATTCTTAAGAAAGGAAGCTCTTTCACTCTCTATTAAATTTATGTCTATATTCCAGACTGGAAATTAACGTTATGATATATAATCATAACTTGCATGTTATGAATCTTACATCTCTTTCATTTCTGTTATCGCAGAAAGAAAGATTGCCCAGTATTAACATTCACTGTCATCTACTCATTTTAGGGAAGCCAAAACAAAGCTTGATCTGGGTGGTTGCTACCTTTTCTCCAAAGAGTTGTGGAGTAGATGTTTGAGCAGCAGTTGCAAACCATACAGCTATTGGTGCTTACTGATCTGTCATAGACCAGCGAACAGATAGTAAAGATCTGCTGTGGTTATTGCAGTGTAGCAACATGTGAAGGAGCTGATACTATCAAGGGGAAGAGGACAGTCTCCCAGGAGTCCCAAACACTGGAATTGGTTGATACCTGGTTTGGACAACTTCTACCTAGCTAGTTTTTCTGTCAGGAAGAGTCATAGGCTTCAGCAGAAGCAGAAGAATGGAAAACCTCTTTGTAAGTAATGCATCTAAGAGCTCACTGAGAGTAGTGGGGGAGCTGGTAACTGTTTTGTCATGAACATGTTACCAGAATGTTCTGAGACTGCAAACTTTAAATGTTAATGCTAAAACATGTTGAACCTTTTGCTTTAAAATGTGTAATTATTAATTGAATCCTAGATGTATAATGCATCTTTATTCTTTGCAACTGACATACAGAATAAAATAAGTACTTACATCAGCATGCTGATGGAAGGCATTCAAACCCAGTTTCTTCCAGTAAGAGGCTGTATCAAGCTCAATCTTATATATCCCTGTTACAAATTGTTCTTTAGTTGTAAGCTCTTGAAGCATTCCGTTTTCATTGGTTTGTCTGTGTGATGGCAGAAGAACGCACTTTAATATTTCAATCAAAACCCAATAAAAATTCAGCTTTTTAGCAATTGCACTTAAGTGATGTTGCGTAGCTTAAGTAATGTTGTGAGTACTTCCTTTGATCTGTAATGACTTCTGTCCATCTGTATTATGGATGTCTTACAGATCTTATCGTGACGTTTCTTGCTTCCACAATCAAAACAGTGCGTGGCTGCCTGCCATGTCACGACTGCGTGGCCTAGGGATGAGCCAAATGTTGGTATAATTGTTCATAGGCTCTTGGCAGTGTGTTGGAGTTAATTAAATGAAGTCACAGGGAAACATTGCTGTAAGCAATGCAAAAGCTCTGTGATGCACTTAGCTATGCGAGTAGGGTCAACTCTTGATTTTTCCATAGTTGTTTCTCTTATTTAAATATGTTGAGTTGTTTTATCAATATGAGTATTAATGAGTCACCAATTTTAAACTTGAAATCTACTATTGGAAATGATTGTAGGTCAGCCAACAGTGTGGTATTTCAGAATTCTTTGTTGCTTTTGCTGATCAGCTGTTTTCTATCCTCATACAACAGATGATATTTGAATTAAAGGTGCTATCGGTGTTACCCTGGAGTATAGATCTGGCTTGAAACTGTACACCTTGGAACACCAGCCAAACTGGGATGCCAGAAACAATATTGAATGCTGTCTCTCAAACATACCTCTTGGTTGAAATCTATTTCTGTGAAATAAGTTTTATGAAACTATGTTTTTCACTGAGTAGGTTATCCACAAATAAGTTCTGGTAAGTGCCTGCTTTGAGTAGTCACAGACCACTGCATCATGTTCCAGCTGCCAAATCTTTTTTTTCATTCCATGCAGAAAAAAGAATAGAATGTTATTTGTGCCATGGTCCACTGTTACTTAGATTTTGTATTTCTGTGTAGCTTATAGATATGAAGTTATTTGCTTCTTGAGAGATGCTCCTTAGTCAGTTGGCAGATTTTTTTTTTTTTTTTTTGTCCTTGTCATAGCTTGATTACTTTTAGATAAGTGTTTAATAAGCTTTCTCAGGTAAAACCCAACATGTATTTAGTTGAGAATAGTTATTTTTGAATCCCTTCCTAACATTCCATTATTTATAAACAGTCAGGACTGGAGAAATTGACTTAGTATTACTGCAGCTTTCCATACACCTTTGTTTCAACATGAAATGTGTTTTAAGGCTCTGATTAACATCCAGCTGCTCAGCTCTGTATCTTCAAATTACGCAGCTGAGCTCAGACTTGAAAGTAACTAAGATGAACATCTTCTTAATGGAAAATTACACACCTTTCCAGTGACAGAATATGTTTGAACCTACTTTATTTGTGAAAGGCAAATTATTTAACAAGGACAACGTGAATAGATAAAGTTCTTTTTCCCCTACTTGTGCAAATATGCATGACCTTCACTGTAGCTATGTTTGTTAAGGGCACATATGAGAGCCATGTTGCTTCTTCCAGCCCCCTGCTCTATTACACCAGAGTCACATACGTACAATTTCTTGTGAGCTGTCTACAAATGCATCTGTGCCTGGTATACTTCCTGCAGTATGTTGGCTTTTGCACGCATGAGCCCTGTGTCACCTTCTTATAGGTAGAATGTACCATTAACAGAGTCCTGGGAAGAAAGTCTCAGGTGGGACTTTGCAAATATCTTGGATTTTCTCATGTTGGCCGATTACTTTTCCTTGAAATAAAGGAGGCTATCAATTATTATGTGGTATACGTTTAAAAAAATTGCATGTTTTCTTTCTAATGCTGTACTGTTGTAGCAAATGAAAGCCCATCTGAAAAGAAGAGAAATAACAAATAAAGGTAGAATTCTCAGTCACAGTCTTAGTCTCAAAAAAAAGAGTCTGTTTGACTCCTCTGGTAATAATGCAGCACTTCATTGGTGGGTATTAAAAAGAAATACGAGGCTTTGTAATAAAATTACATTATAAAACTGTTTTGGTAGTTGAAACTGTACTGTTAAAAGACAACCTGCAGCAAATAAAATGTAATTAATTCAATAGTGTGTCTTCTCTCCGATTAAAAGTTTGTTAGAAACTCTTGTCTTTCCCATTGCCTTTCCCTTCTCTCACTTCATACTTCGGTATGACTTACTGTGAATTTAACAGTTCCCAAGATCCATCTGCAGATGCTTTATATAACTTAACTGGAACATTTGGAGCTGGACTTCCTCGGACTGAATCCAGAATTCTTACAA